AAATTCATTTATAATTATATTGTTAAAATTAATACTTTATATAATTGGATAAATTACACAAAAATCTGTTCAAATCTCGTTTCCCATTTATATCATATTTTAATATTCATAAAACAGTCTCCCAGACTTATAAATTATGAACAGCAAAATGCTTTCATCATCTTCCAATTTATACTTCAGTGATACATTTATTAGACAAGTTTAGCTTAAGTTTTTAATATCTAGCTATAAGCTTATCTAAATATAGTAACAATTTTAGTATCGCAAAGTTTAATGAAAAACCATTTACCTAAAGTTTAGTGTCGTATAAATTTTCTGGCAATATTTGTGGATACGGGCTTTTGGAATTTTGTTTTCAAACCACAAATTCCTTTTGTGAATTTAAATTTCGTAACGACTTCTAAGAAATCAAGTGCAAGCTAGGTTATTTACTTACTTTATTTTATTAATTTGTAAAATACATTTTTATCTTGCAAAATGCACGATGTACCTACCTGATATTTACACAAATAAATAGATAAATACGCAGAATAAAACTAATTTAGTTACATCTTTATAAACGTTTCCTTTTAGAACACAAATTCTAAATATCCGACGTCTAGACAAAATTTTCCTCACAAAAACATATGTTTTATTATATTCTCAAACTAAAATTGAGCGAAACGGGTACAGCGATGACACCCTCATAATTTACCCGAAACTAGAACCCAAGACCCCCATTGTGCAGGTTTTTCACAAGAATGAGTAGGTGGACTGCTAAAAGAAACTTTCCGCTCCACAAAAATTCGTAATTTACTATATTTCTCTAAAACTTAATTCAAAGTCGCATTTTCCCGGATTATTGGAGAATCTGTTAGTTTATTGTACAGAACTGATCCTATGTTAATAAACTAGGTGGTTTTCATTAAATTAGTCATTGCTATATAAAAACTTATTAACATTTGAATGATTAAATATATCTGATTTTACTTCTATATAAAAAGTTAAAGTTACTTCTATATAAAAATATATTAACGATTGAATATTTGGTCGAAATGGATTATTTTTTACTGAATTGTTGTTATTAATCCATGAGCTTTTTTTCGTAGTGAATTCATAAATTATCTTTTGATGCATAATATTATGGTATAAAAAATATGCTTAAATTGAAAGAGACAATATTTTTTTTTTATTTATTGACAAAAGCTTATTAATTTTCTTTTTATTAAAAGGTTTAACGTAGCTTATATAGAAAAGTAGTACATAATATTAGAGTAAACAGTGACATACTAAGTTATTGAACATATCCTTTGTTACTTCTAAAACAGACACATTCCCATCTTTTAACACTACCTTATTTACATCATATCTAAATTAAAAAGAGCAACAATCGCTCTGTTATAACATTAACAATGCGCATATTCACGATGAAGGAAAATGTTATATTTTAATATAACATTAATATTTTCATAAAAATAATCTACTTTGATATAGTAGATAATTATTTTAATATATTATTTATTTTTATATATTATAGATCTGTAATTATTTTCTAATTAATCAAATAATCTCAATAATAATCTCTTGGAAATGTATAAGTCTCGAAAGGAAGGGAATAAATATTCTATTGACATTTTCTAGTTGGAATCATTAATATCATAAAAGCTGTTTTGTATTATCTATCATCGGATAGAGACGTTAAGAATTCAAAAGTCTACTCGGCCTAAGTACTCGTATGCCCTGAAACAAAACAGGCGTTAAACAACACAATTAACAAGACGCTACAAGAGCATTATCCCAAACCTCTAGTACCTTTAAATATGTTACGACGTATTATACAATTAGAACAAGAACCAAAAGGTCATCGTGTATTTTTATGTATGTTTTATATGTATTATAATTATGTATGTTTAAATGAAATAATTCCTCAATATAATTAAAGATTGTTCACAGCGACAAAACAAGACGAGAATGAAATGACTGAACGGGATAAATAGGCAGGTAAAAGCCAGTCTTATATATAATTTCTTTCAAAAAAAAATATTGTTCAAAAATCTTTCTTTTAGTTTATAATCAACTAATTTATACTCTAGCTTGGCCCACTTGTACCAATATATAAAGTGTGCTATATATTAATTTACAATATAACTAACCCGTGGCCAAACTTCATTTAAATCCGTTTAGCCGTTTAAGCGTAATAGTGTAACAAACATAAAAACATCTTTCACGTTTATAAGTGCATATTAGAAGGCTGTAAAAGGCTCATGTGCACCCTTCTTGTATTTGCTCATAGAGAAAATTACCTATAGACCTTTGAGAATTTCATAATATGAAACCCATCAGATATGATATAAATATAAATGAAGATTTTTTCACAAAAGTATCAGACTTCAATCAAGATAAAATAAATATGATTACAATATGAGGGTATCTATGAAGTGATAAATTAATCTTTAAAATCGCTGCAAAATTCGCAAATATAACGTGTTATATAAGCAAATTATATAATCGAATTTCAAACCTCTCTTTTTTAAGGCTGAATAAAAACTATAGAGTAGTACAAGTTAAAATTATCGAAAACAATTACAAAACTATTTTCTCTAACATTATAAGTTGGAATAAAATAATACCCCACCATCAAATACGTATATTAAATTCCAATCCTAATAAAATATATACATACGAGTGTTTTGTTAAAATTATGCATACGATGCAAATACAACTTAAAGAAAAATAAATTGTAATTCTCGGTCTCTAATAAATCTTCATATCATCACTCGTATGTTGATTCGCTGGAATAATTTACCGCAAGAGGGAATTGTTTCACCCCAAACATAAGATAAGAAGTTCCTCACTCCACACACAATAAATCTTGTAGGGCACCTTACGGACTGATTTATTCCACCGATAATCTTGGCTTGTCCGAAACTTATCTACTAGAAAGTTCGATATGCGGACAAAATATCACATGGATTGTCGGTAATAATATAATTTCATTGTGTTCGGATGGAACTCATCAGGGTTTTACGTAACTGAAGAGACAACCTCAATAGCTATTCTTCTTATGACAAAAGTGAAGGTGAAAATGACAGTACTTTGAAATGAGTTGTAATTTACGTTATTAGTGTATACGTAAGGCATCGTCCTTACGTCACAGCGTAGATTAACGACAAACATAGTTCATAAAAGTACCGTTATAAATAATAACAAATAATAAAATGACACTAATAACGTAAATTACAACTCATTTCAAAGTACTGTCATTTCACCCTGAAAAAAATTTCCGGATGACGTCGAAACAATTATTGGAAACGACAAAAACAGTAACTTTCTAAAATTCCCGTTGTACATGTATTATATGGACGTCATGAAAAGTTAACGTTTAAAAATAATATCTAAGTATCATTTAGAATTCACCTACCAATCTTCACGCCAGATTCTTAAAGGTCTGCAAATGAATTACACTTTTAAATATTAGAGATGTCTCAAAATGAGTGAAATATTATACATTTCCTAATGACACCCAATCCATTCTGTTCATAATTTTTACAAAAAAATTAACAACTATAATCACGATTAAATTAATATACCTATACAACACGACTATGACAACACGAGAGTATTATGTCACATCTGATGGCGCAAAATAATGTAGGTAGATTAAACCGTTGCGTTTTACATCTAACGCCGGTGCCGTTTTCCTTTGTCATAAGCAGTTTAGATAAAACATTTATGCAAGCTACTTGAGGCCAGGTTAAATACGCTTTAATTTATAAAAGGCCGGGTTTTGAACCCTGTATCTTAAGATCCAAATGTCTGTCTATAAATATTAAGAAGTAGTATTAGCACAATTAATGACTATTTAGTATAATTAACATCCACGATGGCTGTGCGTGTGATACGGTCGTATGTGCCATGCACGTATAGTTTATGGAATGAGTTCTTCCTTATATTCTTTCTTTGTTATATTAATGGGGATGTTACAGCTAATTACAGCAACCACAAATCACTAATATATGGGATATGGCAGAATAATTACAGGATATAGAGGCATAACAGTGACAATGCATGAGAGTGGTCATGGCGTCATAGTATATTGTGTTATAATTTTCCATCGGACGGGTCGTTTACCCATTCTAAATTGTATAGTAAGAAAATTATATAATTTTTTTTAACTTGCTACTTTGTACTCGTATGAACATGAGTTACGCTAATCATGTGCAGAATGTGGACAAAGGGCTGTATGGTATGGAAACACGGTTACTTCAAGCAGGTAATATAATTATAAATATAGATATGACAATTACTTCATGTTACAAAAATACTTTTAATATATAAAAAAGAAATCAAAAAGGTGCGTCGTGCATATAACTTCATTAACAGAATTTTATTAAAAAATATTTACACATTAAAATATTAAAAACAAAATATTCTAATCATATCATTTTTCTATTCTATACGCCTGTTCTAAAAGATATTTCAGCAACGAGGCTGAAATTATAATTATATAATAGACAATCTCTTTATTAAATATTATATTTAAAATAATTTGCGTTATATTTAACAGCAATAATATCAAAAAGCAAAATATATTTTATAAAATACCATATACATATTATCCCCTAAGGGTCGAATTATTGAATTTCGTATGCTGAAATATAATAAATAATGATGTTAATAGTATAAAAATGTAAATCAATGTACTATAAATAATCTGTTAAGAGTATGTAGCAGATGAATAGAAAATAAGTTGTAAAAATATTTTACAATTACGTATTAAATCAGAATAAAATAAAACAAACAAGACTTTTTCTCACAAACAAAGTATACATAAATAAACATAATAAATACGTAAGTTTGTAGCGATAGATGGATGAATTGATGGATAGACAGATGGATGGATGGATGTTACACTTTCACGCAGAAACTATTGAGCACATTTGAATGAATTTTGGTACACGGTTAAGTTATATCCTAACTGAAAGGTCGATGGACCGCTTTTTAGGTCAAAGGGTCCGAATTTGTCGTCAAAATGTATTAAAATTAAAAGGCAAATTTGTCATCAAAATTACGTCCGTCTTCTTATCGGTCTTTTGTCAAAGTCCTTTTGTTTTGTCCCAAGCTGTCAGTTTTAATTGTAGAATGTCTTAGCGGCCAGCGATAAAACCTGTCAAAGAGGCCGCAACATCCCCACCTCCAGTATTGGAAGCCAATACTCCAGGCAAGGCCTAGGCGCGGACGTCCAATCTGGCCAGCTTTGTCACTGGTCGCTTATAGAGTCCGGTCGAAGTCAGCACGTCAGCTACTCGAACCCTGCCGTCCTTCCCAGGATACACTGCCGTCACTCGTCCTTTGGGCCACTGGTTTCGTGGGAATTGATCGTCAGTTATAATTACAACGTCATCAGTCATTAACGGTCGTGTTTCTTGTCGAAACCATTTGTCTTGTCTTGTCAAAGTTGGTAAGTACTCTTTTATCCAACGTTTCCAGGTAAGGTCGGCCAGTCGCTGGGAGTGACGCCAGGATCGTCGCAGTAAGTCATCGTCGTCAAAGATACCCAAAGGATGGTCCATGTCATTTGTCTTCGTCATCAAAAAGTCATTCGGAGTTAAAGGTAAGTCGTCGTCCTTGTCAATAGGTACATACGTTAGTGGTCTACTATTTACAAAATGTTCTGTCTCCGCTAGGAGTGTTGACAGAACTTGATCACTCGGCGCTGTTTCTTTTAGAGTGACACGGAGAGCAGTCTTAACAGAGCGCACCATTCGCTCCCAACAACCTCCCATATGAGGAGCGTTAGGGGCGATAAAGTGCCAGTCAATTCCCCTGGTACTTCCCATCCTAGTTAGTTCGTCTTTGTCCAAGGCCGCCACGGACAATTTCAGCTCACGGTCGGCTCCTTTAAAAGTGGTGGCATTGTCACTCCATATTTGTCTTGGGCAACCACGACGAGCAATGAAACGTCGGATGGCCATGATAGCACTGCTTGTTGATAAATCATGTGTCACCTCAATATGGATAGCTCGAACCGTAAGACAGGTGAAAAGAGCTCCATATCTCTTCTCTCGATGACGGCCTACCTTGACCAGCATTGGGCCGAAATAGTCCAGACCCGTATACTGGAAAGCGCGTCCACCAGGAGTCAGCCTTATATCGGGTAATGACCCCATCAGAGGTGGGTCAGGTCTTGCTCTCCTTATTCTACATAACTGACAGTCGTTCCAAATAGACTTGACAGCGTTCCTTCCACCGATTATCCAAAAACGTTGTCGAAGATTATTAAATACCAGTTCCCGTCCACTATGGGCTGCATCTTGATGGTACTGGTGCATGATGAGACGCGTAAATTTGTCTTTTGGATGCAAAATGATTAGGTGTCGAGTGTCATTGCCAACATTCGCTTCGCGAATCCTCCCATCAACGCGGAGAATGGCGTCTCCATCCAGAAATGGCGTTAATTGGCATAGAAAACTCTCTTTGTCCACTTGTCCACATTTTTTAATATTTTTAATATCGTCAGAAAATATTCTTCTTTGACTATCCTTAATAAGCGCCTTCTCTGCTTCTTTAACTTCGTCCGCTGTCAATTCACCTCGTTTTCTGTTATCTTTGTGAATCCAGTTACATACAGCGCGGTAGAACCACGCGGTACTTCTTATTAGCCTCCAAAACTTTGAGAATCGGCTGACGTCAGGCAGATTAACGGGCATTTCAGTTAAAACTAAGATGGTTTTCACCTCAACGTCGTCAGGATCAACAATGAATTCAGTCTCTTCTGACGGCCAGAATTCCTTGGATCCCCGGAGAAACTGTGGTCCATATAACCATCTCGTATTATCCTCGGTAACTGTCTCTCTAGTTGCATCGTCTGCTGCATTTAGGCCTGACGGTACCCACCTCCAGTGATTAACGTCGGTTAACTCGGAGATCTCGCTGACACGATGGGCGACGAAAGGCTTAAAACGACCGCTGTCAGAACGAAGCCAGCTCAGAACAGTCATAGAGTCAGACCAAAGTGTTATGCTTGCATCAAAGTGTTGCTTCAAAGTGTGAGCTAGTCTAGCACCCAGCAAGGCAGCCTGTAACTCGAGGCGAGGTATGCTCATTACTTTGAGTGGTGCGACGTGAGCACGTGCCAAGACGAAAGCTACATGCCAACTACCATCTGACATCTTGACGCGTAGATATGCAACGCTCGCATAAGCCTTACTGCTTGCATCGCAAAAAATGTGAAGTTCTAAGTCAGCTTGTTTGTCACACATGTCAGTAAAAAGCCAACGAGGAAGTCTAAAGTCGCTGACCTTTTGTAATTCCAACAACCATAACTGCCATTCCTTGAAACTAGTCGATTCGATTTCATCGTCCCAGCTGATTTTGGATTTCCAGACATTTTGCAGGAGAATTCGCCCCTTCACTGTCACATATAAGAGGAAACCCAAAGGATCAAAAATGGACATCGTCAATCTTAATATGTCACGCTTGGTTGGTTTCTTCACCCCTGACTTAATGTCCTCGCTCACCTTAGGAAGCTTCAATAGAAAGATAAACTCATCGGAATCCTGGTTCCAGCGCACTCCAAGCACACGTTCTACCTGATCATCCTTGGAGTCAGAGAGGATCTTCAGGATACACGGGGATAGCTTGTCTGAAGGTAAGTGTTCCAATAGTGTATGAGAATTAGAGACAAAATTCCTTATATTGAAGCCACCTGCAGCATGTATACGTATTACATCATCCACTACGCGTACCAAGTCATCCTCATTGTCAAAAGAGTGGATGTAGTCGTCGACGTAATGGTGGTCTATAATAGCTTTGACAGCTTCTGGGTGAGTCGCCTCATATCTACGAGCATTCAAATTTTTTACATATTGAGCTGATGATGGTGAACAGACAGCTCCAAAAGTCATGACATTCATGACATAAACGTCATTATTCCAGAGAAGTCTTTGGGCATGTCGGTCATCTTCCCTAATAAGTACTCTATGAAACATCTCTTGGATGTCACCAATTACACAATATTTGCCTAGACGGAACCCTAATAATACAGCAGGCAAAGATGTTAAAAAATCAGGTCCACTCAATAAGAAGTCATTGAGTGACTTACCGTCAGACTTAGCTGCACAGTCAAGTACAATTCGCAACTTATTAGGCTTATTAGGATTAAAAACGGCAAAGTGAGGAAGATACCATGTCTTATTGGTCTGGATCGAGGCCTCTTCAGGAGTTAATTTTGAGATGTATCCTTTATCAACATTCTCCTGGATCTTCTCCTCATACTTGACAGCAAGCTCAGGATACCTACGAAATTTTCTCTGGATACCTATAAGTCTACTCTTCGCCTGTGGGTAGCTATTCGGGAGCTGAACGTCATCAGAACTCCAGAGTAGGCCGGTCTCCCATCGTCCTTGAGGCAAGAGTTTCGTGGTCTGTTCCATAATCTTCAGCGCCAGCTGATCCTCTCGAGAACGAGGAAAGTCACCTGTCTGCTTCACGCCGAAAGACTCTGTGGAAAAAGATCTCTTAACGAGGTCGTGTAATTCGTCACAAGAGCATAGATGTAATATAGTTCTGTCATTCGCTATACTACGAAGTCCTATGTTCCCATGTACAACATAACCCAAGTCCGTCTTAGATATTATAGGTCCGTTCTTATGTCCTTGTATTATTTGTCTAGTAATAATTAACTCAATATTATCTTGACCAATTAGTAACTCAATCTTTCTAGGTCGTATGTCATAGTCTGTCACATAGTCAGTCACATAAGGAAATTTATTTACAATATTTTTATATGAAATACTATCTACTACAATATTCAAATTATTTATAGAACGAACACTATTTACACTATACACATTTTTTTCATTCAAACCGCGAATATTAACTGACACTATTTTTGAGTCCGTCTCTGTGGTTGACATTCCGGACACACCACGCATGTGTAGATTTGTCGTCGGACCAGTAATGCCAGCCTTCTCGAGCAGAGTAGCATCAACCAGGCTCACAGATGCGCCTTCATCAAGGAGAGCGAAGGTAGTGACGTCACCTTTTGTACCTGATACAACGACTGGCACGACCTTCAGTAATACATGCGAGCTTCGACTGTCGTTGTTCACTGTCGTTTCGGCATGATTGACGGATATTACTCTATCATCAGTCTCGTCGCGTAGGGCAGCATGAAGCAAGGTGTGATGAGCACGGACACATTCAGGAACAGAGCATTTAATTTTTCTCTTACAGGCTTTTAGTTGGTGTCGTACAGATAGACAAGAGAAACATAACTTTTTGTCAGTTACCAACTTCCAGCGGTCGTCTATCGTCATCCGTTTGAAATCATCACAATCACTTAGTCGATGATTACCGTTGCAGAGCACACATGTAGGTGATGATGATGAAACTGTAGCTATCACCGGTCTCCATGGTCTATGGTCAGGCTTGGTCGGCAGCTTCGCAACAGTATTATTTACAGTCCTTATAGGCAGCGGAGCAATATAAGTGGCGGCGTTAGCTACGGTCATGAGCCACTCAGATACATGACATAAAATTACAATATTTACATGTTTATTCGATATATACATACTCCATTGATATTTCAATAGTGACGGCAGTTTACTTATTATTTCTCGAATTAAAGTGGGATTAGTCAGATGTCCAACCTCTTCTGTCATTTTCATCGTAGCTACAACATTTTGAATTGCAGTCGCATATTCTATTAAATGATTGACGTCGTCATGACGGACTTCACGCATGAGCCTTATTTTATTCAACATGACTTCTATGATTAATTCAGGTCTACCAAATCGTAACTTCAATGTGTCTATTATTAGTTTTAGGTTTGTAGCACTCACCAACAGCGCAGATACAGCGTCACGCGCACGGCCCTTCAGGCAGCGCGCTAGTCGTTCGATGTTTTCATCGTCGCTATAACCACACAGCCGTGTTGTCGATATATACTGCCTATAGAACAACGGCCACTCATCAGGCTCACCGCTATACAAGGGCAGCTCCTTTGCGCTTATTTGCCTGGCTAGGAGTTTAGACATGTTCGTGTTGTCATTCTCTAGTCTGCGTGTAGGAATGTGTGGTGGTACAGGCATCATTTCAGGCTGTGTCTGTGTATCAGTATTGATAGCCGTCGAGATAGCGTGAGGCATACTAATATTATTTTGATATACCATACCTGAGGTTGTAGGCAGACGTAGGGACTCGCGTGACTGTGTCCTATTGAGCATGAGGAGGTTCTCTTCATCTTCAAGTGCTTGTGCTGATAATGCAAGTTTTTCTTCGATGAGTCTGGTTTGTATCAACGCGCGCTCTTCCGCGGCTTGCAATTGTAGTTGTAGGAGTCGTTGTCTTCTTACTACAGTCGATGTGGACGTACTAGAGTGCGAACGGGCGGATGGCGTGGGTGAGGGCTGGCGGCTACCGTGGGCGGACTGTCGGTCGTGTTCACCCTGGTCAGCAGTAGCAAGCAGCGTCGTCGGAATTGTCGTCATCTTCGCTTGTCTTCGTGTCTGCACCATAGGTTGGTTGTAGTTTGTTCGAAGGACCACTTGAAAGGTCGATGGACCGCTTTTTAGGTCAAAGGGTCCGAATTTGTCGTCAAAATGTATTAAAATTAAAAGGCAAATTTGTCATCAAAATTACGTCCGTCTTCTTATCAGTCTTTTGTCAAAGTCCTTTTGTTTTGTCCCAAGCTGTCAGTTTTAATTGTAGAATGTCTTAGCGGCCAGCGATAAAACCTGTCAAAGAGGCCGCAACACTAACTTAGCATGTAGAATACTTTATGCACTGATTCACACGGGCGAAGCAGCGGGATACAGCATAAGTACAAGTATGAGTGGACTAGCTGACCGGCAAAAGATATTTAAGCGCATACCGCCAACTACGGAGTCCTTTCTTTCTTATGAAACTAAAACTATCCTATCTTTCAAATCCAACATGTGGTGTCAACATCGTCATGTATGATTTTCAACCGACTTCAGTAAAGAAGGACGTTTTAATTCGGTTGTATTTTTTATGTTAAATACCTTATAAGTCTGTCAATTATAAACAGATTTGTAAAATTATACGCATACACCGACCGATTTAACATTGACGTTACGACCACTCTTTGGAATCAACTTCCAGCAGCAGTATTTCCGAACCGATACGACAACATAACCTTCAAGAAAAGAGCATATTCCTTTTTAAAAGGCCGGCAGCACACTTGCAATGCCGTAGGTGTTGTGGGTGACCATGGGCGGCGGTAGTCACTTACCATCAGGTGAGCCGCATGCTCGTTTGCCCTCTGTGTTGTAAAAAAAAAAAAAAAAAAAAACGACCGGGATTACTAAATATGACCAAATAGAACAAATATATATTCTGTGATTACAAATTAGGTAACAGCGTACCAACGTCTAATTAATTAATTCTTGTGCTGTAATAGTACTAACCATACACTATGGTCAGTTCCTGATCTTCTCATGATAAACTTGATGTAATAAATTTTATGTAACTTGATATACTCGTACATGGTAAACTTAAATATCCTTCTTTTCCACTTTCGCAGTAAAATAAATGTATTAAAATCTGTAAAATAATATTACTGTATATTTCATTTTTTTCTAAATATACACTTTTCGCCACTCTTTTGCTACCTATATATTTTAGTAATGGGGTCAATATATATAGAGACACAGAAACGTTACTACTGCATCTAACAGTTTTACACCTCCATTTCACTCTAATAGTATATGTACACAGCTCTTCTAAGTAGCTTCTTAG